AATTAAATGTTCTTGATACGTCTCATAATGTTCAAAACTGGGTTATGAAATTCTATCATAAGTACCTTTCCACAGTTAAAGGAGTGTAGAAAAGCAAATTCTACATATGTCATCTGCAAACATATCATATTCTTGCATGATTAAATTCAGCTCAATTAACCATGAAAAGTTTGCCTGTTCAAGAAAACCTTTGATCACGAATTAAGATCTGTTGCCAGATACATGTTTGCAGTGGCGGATCCAGGGGGGGCCCGGGGGGCCCGGGCCCCCCCCCCTTGAGAAAAAAATCATGTAAAATCACGTGATTTTTACCTTTTTGGGGGGTTGGGCCCCCCCCCCCCCCCTGGCGCTCAAGGGGGGGGGGGTGCAAATTGAAATTTTTTTGAGGATCAAAAAAAAAAAAAAATTGTGCTCTGTACCCCCCCCCCCCCACCCCCCCCCCCCCCCCCCCCCCCCCCCCCCCCCCCCCCCCCCACCCCCCCCCCCCCCCCACTGAGCGACTTTTCGGCCGGCGCGATTTTCAAATTTTCGGGAGCAAAAAAAAAAAAGAAAGTTGGGCCCCCTCCCCTAAGAAATCCTGGATCCGCGCCTTCATGTTTGTACTGTGAAGATGAACAACTGCTCAGTACCATCATGTCTAGTTGCTACACTTACAGTTTAGCGAGAGGGAAATACTTATTTCACATGACTTACATCAATATTACTAACAATTCCTTGACCAAAAGCACTCTACCATAATACCTTGGAAACCGAATTTGATTACAATTTCGCACTTGCATTGCACTCTCCCCACTCATTTTGGAGTATTCATTCCAGCCAATCACCAGTCTAAATGCATGCATGTATTAATGTATAAGTTTCCAACTGACTAAACTATCCATTTATTCACCCATGTAGAGAGAGTCAATGTACATGAAATGCCTTGTCTAAACACAAGTGCCTAACAAGGGCTGAAACATTATGCTTATGTCATTAAAAAACCCACAATCTCAAATCACTTAACTCAACATTCTACTTTTAGAAAGGTGGTAAAAACATTGTAATATCATTAAAGGAAACCAAAACCTTCATACTAAGTCACTTTTATTGTAAAGTTTAAAAGATTTGAATAAAATCAGTGAAAATTTGAACAAAATCGGGCAAGGAATAAGAAAGTTAGAGCATTTTGAAATGACCAGTCACTAGAGGGCGGTATTCAATTTGATGACATCATCTGTGAACAACTCTCCATGCCTTTTGTACATCAAATTTCACAATTTCTTTGTTTTCTTCGTATTTATTTGTGTTCTTGATCCGACTTCATAACATGTGAAGTAGAATATCATTTTGCATTCTATATCTTGCTTTCAGGGGAGTACATTATCTCAATCACAAGAAAGAAGGAAAAACATGAAATTTGATGTACAAAAGGCATGGAGAGTTGTCCACAGATGATGTCATCAAATTGAATACCGCCCTCTAGTGACTAGTCATTTTAAAAAGCTCTTACTAGGCGTTGTGGCGTGCGCCTGTAATCCAGCTAAAAAGTGGAAGTTACAAACTGATTCAGCCGAGGACGCAGGTTCGAAACTGAGTCACGTCTTTCGGATGGTGACGTTTAAAGGTCGGTCCCAGACGTAAATAATCATATCTGATTGATACACGTCTGTAAAAACCCAATACACACACACACACACTCTCTTACTTCCTTATTCCTTGCCCGATTTTGTTCAAATTTTCACTGATACTTTTCAAATATCTTAAACTTTACAATAAAAGTAACTTAGTATGAAGGTTTTGGTTTCCTTTAAACCTGAAAAATGACTATATATGTGCACTGGTGGTTGCTTTTACAGGATGAGACAGACAGCTGTTGTTGTCATTTGAAAAAAGAAATATAGTCCTTATTGTCCCTAGCTCTGAATTAGGAGAAATCACAGGTTTGGATTTGTGGTGAGGAAGAAATATATGACTTCACATGGGACTTTCCCTGACAAGTTTGAAAAGTTGTCCCTTATATGTCCCATTTGCAGGCCAAAAAATGAAAAGTTTAAATTCCACCGGAATTTAAAAGATAATACTAATGTATAACTTCCCTCTAAATAAAAGGGCTCGAAAATGTCTTTTTGTGGGAAAATAAAGATAGTTGTCAAATCGACTTTAGGGATTGCAATTCTGATTTTCAGACACTTGTACCGAATGGTGTACATTTTGTGCTGGGTAAAGATTCAATCAGTTTAATTTTGGCCATTATAAGAAGTGGGTTATTGATGTAGACAAATGTTTATGTACTCCTTACAGCTCATTTTATGTATGTTATTACCAAAGAAAAATGAAGCCAGTCAGTCGATAGTATCTGACTGACAGTCAAGTCTAGAAAGTAAACGGTTTCCTTGCATCATTTGAATGACACTGCTAAAGTTTAAATTTCACAGATAGGACATTATGTGACATATTCATAATTCCTGCAAAATTCTACAAAATTTGATGTTGGCTGCAAAAGTGACATAGTACCTTTAACGAATTCCAAGGCAAAATTGATAGAGAATTTGGCAGAGACAAATTTTTTTCAGTTAAAGGTATAGACCAGTTCTGGTCATGCAACTGCATCGTGAAAGAAACGTTGTGGAATCGATCAGAAAAGGTTGATCATCTAGCATTAAGTATTGGTGTGTACCTCAAGGTTCTGGAATCATCAAGATCAAAATGATAAGAAATTTGGCCCAGTCTTGGTAAAGTTACAAGCACTGTACACAGAAAGATGTATATGGGACTACGCGATATCTATCCAGTCCAAATAGATAATTTACCAAATATATCAATTAGTAGGTGGTTATTAGTCACTGAAAACATATTCTTTTACATGATTGGTAATAAGAGCTTCCATTTCATTTTTGAGAGGGTGGGCGTTTCCAAAACTGGTCTATACCTTTGAAGTACAGGTTATCTACTGGCAAGCCTGTTAAATGAGTGACATAGGTCTTGTTCTGTACACTGTGTGTGACGAGGCCATTGTAAAGTTTGTTAAACCTCGAGTCAAGACACTGCATCATCTGCTAAGAGCCAAAAGGGCATTAACTCATGTTTTGTTTTTACAAAGAGTAAATACTCTTCTGACCCTCAGTAGATGGTATTTTGTTCCAAAGTAGAGTCCATGCTTGCAGAGGACCACGCATAACCTTCCCTCCAAAGCCATAAACCAGTCCATAGTTACACCCTGGGCATGGGTGGAGCACAGGACATTTCTACAAACTTGTGAAATCCATCTGAGACAAAAACTCAGTATGAACTCGTGAAAGTTATGCATTTATTTTTTGTCTACATTATATGCTCTCAACGGTGCATTCTGTGATGTTCAGGGCTGTTTGAAAGGGACACAAAAGATATGCATGGTGTGCAACCATCCACACCTTTTGTTTGGGGGGGGGGGGGGGGTGGTTATTCTAAAATGTAAAGCGTTGAACCTCACCATACTTTTAACAAATCTCTGGTAATTTGAGGTCTTTGGTGGCATGTCCTAACGTTAACAGGTCTATAGTATTAGACAACATGTTCATGAAATTTATTTGTTTATTGTTTGCGTTTGAATTGCTTCCAGCATTTACCTCCATCAGGAAGCTGAAAACATAACAGAGAGGATGTGCATATCCTGCAAATATTTCACAACACTGATGTGGATGTTAAATGGGTGAGAACTCAGATTGATACATGTACTTCACTTTCCATTATGTCAGCCCCAACCCAAGTTCTTTTATCAAGGCAAAGTCCAAAGTTCTGATGATGTAGAAACATCTCTCTCTCTCTCTCTCTCTCTCTCTCTCTCTCTCTCTCTCCCTCCCTCTCTCCTTCTCTCTCCCTCTCTCTCTCTCTCTTTCTTTTCCTCTCTCTACTGTCTTCCATAACATTTCAGTGAGAACAGTTTCAAGGAATCAAAACAAAATAGATTGTGGGTGAAATATGTAATCCCCTTTCATAAAAGAAGAGACAAAAATTAAACAAATGTATTAGAATTTAGAAGCCATGCTATCTACGCTTTAATAAATGAGGCAAGACTTTATTCATAAGACAGGCATGTATATCAAAGCGTTAAAAGGTAGTAGAGCTTAAGGATCTGATAGTGACAAAGCCGTTTGTATGTTAGCACATTATCCTCTGTGGTTGTGAGAAGTAGAAATTCTACCTCCCCAAATAATTATTTTAATACAAAACTAGATGGAACTTCGACTGCGCGCAGTCGAAAATGATGCCTCCGTCATAGAGCAATTTTACAAACCAAAACAGAAGAAATTTTTCGAATTCAAGTTCAATTGTAATCCATTAACAGGTTCTCAGAATATTGTGATTACAAGCTATGTTTGCATACATAATGAGCCCATGACCTTTGACCTTATGAACCAAGAATCTACTCAGTTCATTGGCTCTGCAAGAAACATACATGACCTAAGTTGGCAGGAATCCATCAATCAGTTCTTGAGATAATGCGATCACGAGCTGTTTATGCATACATAATGTGCCCTGTGGCCTTTGACCTTTGACCTTGTGACCCCTACATCTAATCAGTTCATCGGCTCTGCAAGTAACATACATGACCTAAGTTTGGCAGCAATCCATCAATCGGTTCTTCAGATAACGCAATCACGAGCTCGTTTTGCATACATAATGAGCCCTGTAACCTTTGACCTTTGACCTCGTGACCCCAAAATCTAATGAGTTCATCGGCTCTACAAGATACATACATGACCAAAGTTTGGCAGGAATCCATCAACCAGTTCTTCAGATAACGCGATCACGAGCTCGTTTTGCATACATAATGAGCCCTGTGACCTTTGACCTTTGACCTTTGACCTCGTAACCCCAAAATCTATTCAGTTCATCGGCTCTACAAGATGCATACATGACCAAAGTTTGGCAGGAATCCATCAACCAGTTCTTCAGATAACGCGATAACGAGAACGGGACGTACGGACGGACGGACAACCCGAAAACATAATGCCTCCGGCTACTTCGTAACGGAGGCATAAAAATAAGCAAATATGTCAATCTTATAAATATTATAAGCCGGTCTGCTCAGAATTCAAAGTCCTTCAAAAGGGAAGGATGATGAGAATAATAACAGAACTTCCTCTGAAGATCTTGAAGAACCATGAAGTACCTTGGAGATGATGCTAAACTAAGACGATCAAACGTGTGGTGACGTCCGTGTTATTCTCACTGTCATATATGGATTCTGCCCTAATTAGTATTATTTACATCTTCAGTGTGCATCACGTGGTAACCTCCAATGTGCTTTACCCTGTTATTGTTTTCCTTGGTGATTGGATTTCAAGCCAGCACACAGTGTGCACCATCTCCACTCCCTGGGAGTATTCCTGCCACCACTCACAGTATTCACATGCAGGCATGTGGAAAAAGGAAGTCACAATGACTCTTAGTCTTGGCAACCCTCAAAAATACCAATTTAGTGCTGGATAATGGTATCGTAGAATAAAATAGTATGTAAGTGTCACAGCTGCCACTCAATCCACAGACTTTTCCTTTAGACAGAGTGTACTGGGTTCAAAGATTGTCTTCCACTTTGTTCCATATCTCTTATTGGTCCTTTACCATCCTACATGGACATTCCTGATCCAAATAAACATAGGAAGCAGGAACAAAGTACTTGTCGAGATATTAAAGCAACCAGCTATTGGATCACGGTTCTACAACAAACCATTATTTCTTCTTGATCTTCACATTGTGCTTCTTTCTCCAGTTTTGAAGTCAGAGCTGAGAGGGAGGAAGGAAGGGAGGGACGATAGGTCATACACTCATCAGCAGTTCCTTTTCTTTTCTCCTTGTTTCCTGGGAATTGAAAGAAGAAAATAAAAAATGTTTAAAAAAAAATATATGTTGAATCAAAACTTGTTAAAAGAGAAGGTTGAGTTATGGGAAGAGGTGAAAAATAATTTGTGAGCGTTATCATAATTGTTATTATGCAAATGTGGAAAAACATCAGATAAAACATGTTCCCTGAAAAGCATGGCTCTTCAAATGCCTTCATATTCTAAATATGGCATGTAACATCGTAAAAAATCTGGACAGGTTTTTACGCCACGTGTTTGTGTACGTGTAGTCCCATATACATCTTTCTGTGTACAGTGCTTGTAACTTTACCAAGAATTGGCTAAATTTCTTATCATTTTGATGATTCCAGAACCTTGCAATACACACAAATACTTAGATGCTAGATGATCACCCTTTCTGATCGATTCCACACCATTTCTTTCACAATGTTCTTTCACAATCTTTCGCATGACCAGAACTTAACTTTATCTTTAAGCTAATCTGACTTCTTGTAATGGACATGTTTTTTGATAGAAACTGACATAGAATGGAATTGTAATTGTTCATCATGAACAGATGTTCATATAAAAAAACAAATAATTGCCGGAATCACATTTCCCAGAAAGGACAGCTAGTATGTATTTGCATATTATGGTACCTCCTGATATGTACATGATTGAGAATATTATCTTGATTTACTTATTTTTCCTTGCTCCTCATACAGCTATCATACATTCTCTACCCTACTCATTTGAAAGATTTGAGATATCAATTATTTGTAGCCTTGAACATTCAGTTAAACTATTGTTTGATTCCGAGAGGATATATTTGTCAACACTCCCTCCCAATTACAGCAAAACAAAGAAATGACAGAAACAATTGCAAACTAGACATTGAATTTGTCACAGCGACAAATTAGGTGATCTGCTGCTTTGATCAAGACATAACACATGTAGAAACTCAATGGGAGATTTGGTCTTTATAAAAGAAATTCCACCCTCCACTCATAGCAGGCCTATGTACAAGCTCATTTAGTAATCAAGGATATAGAAACAGTGGTAATGAATGACAGGAGTTGGCGAATATGTCGGCTCGTACAGAGCAGCAAGTAGAGCGACGTTGACAGTTGAGAATCGTGAGGAAAAAGGTGAGATGAGAATTGTGTGAGAGATGAAGTTTCGATGGAGAAAAGTAAAAACCATGAGGCATTCACCGAAATGAACAACGAGACCAAAAGGCTGGACTGGATGTGTAGATTTACGACCCAGCCAAGTATCATGTGTTGACGGTGGCTTGGGTGGGTCGGTGAAAAGGATAAGGAGTAGAAGGAGCGTTAATCATAACCAGAGGACTTGTTGTGGTCAGAAGTTTATATGTCGGCAAAAGTAAAAGGAGAAGAGGAAAAGAGATGGAGAGATAGACAGAGAGAGGGAGGGAGAGGGAGAGAGAGAGAGAGAGAGAATGTTGAAAGACTACACTCATTAGGAGATTTGCTACACCACGCAGATGATCACCTAATAACACAGAGTCAGCGAGAAATAATCCCATCATCCATTCGTATAACACGTACAACAAGAAGGTCTGAAACGTGTAGACTATCCATGACGGAAATGTAACACAAACTCAATGGGAGATAGCACATACAAATAAAAACCATAATGTCAGAGTATGCAGTCTTCACCTAAAATCATAATTTTGACCACGATGCAGTCTTCTGATCAGAAAATCAATTCATTATACATAGAATTAGGTCTTAGCTACAACATAATAAAATATTGGAGACATCAGAATAGGGATAGACAAGATATATTCAAAACAACAACAGCTAATATTACCTAATCAAATCAAATTCCTTTTTTCACTTTAAGTGCCATTTTGTTAACATCAAAGCATTCTAACAGCAAACGTGATACATGATATCGCATCTCCAATTCATACCCTATCAGAAAATGAGAAAAAAAATTGGGGGTAAGGTAGCCATTCTGAGTTATAAAGGATTCAAAGTTGGTACTTTTTTCGGATGAAACCAATAGGTGCTTCGCCATGGTTCGCGGCAGGTCACCTAATAAACCCCAAAATAGAATGCTTGTGGCATTATGCTTACAGAGTGTTTCAAGTTTTTACAAAGAAACAAACATCTCTAGTAACCGCAATAATCAACAATAACAATTCTTCTTTTTAATTAATTTTACCTCTCATGCATGACTCCTGCCATGCCCGTTGCACAATTGTACTCACCGTGAAATCAAAGTTGCTTCATGTATATATAACAGTAACTGAAAGTTCAATGACTCCTCGTGGTTTTTCTAATTTTAGGTCGATTTATAAAGTCTGAATATTTCCTTATATAATAGTCTGAAATCTAAAATGCTGATGGATCTTAGTGGTATTTCTGATTTTAGGTTGATTTATACAGTCTAATCGTTTCCTTATCTGAAATGACCTACAAGTAAGACCACTTACTAGATAAATTATCCTGTGGAAAGACATTAATCTACAATTTCCACTCGCTATCCAGGTGTAGTGAGTCAGTTCCTCAGAGGTAGGATGAAATTCCTAGAATATTTGAGACCCTCACAAATGGAATCTTAGTCAAAACTGGGTACACTGTATATGTATAATAATTCGGCAATTTGTAATCCCAAGGTACATAGCAGTTGAGTTATAATTATGATTATGATTATTATTGTCATTATCAATTATCACATCAGCTCGGTCTATGTTAATTCTCATAACATCGCACTTTCATGAGCTGCCAGTCTACATGCATAACAATCTGATCGAGTCTTACACCCAACCTCAAACAATTATTGACATTTTGTCAAGAAACCAGACAGTTATCCTCATGTCGTGGTCTACATGTCAATAATTCTAACTACTTAATCTTATTTAAACTTTATTCTCATGAGAAAGGCCATGAATGGTCACAGGATACTGAAACCCGCTAAACAGACAAAACATGAAAGGGTTTTCCTACATCAAATCTCTGCAGCATGTGACAAAGCTTATAACCTTACACAAGGCTAGCTCATGAATACCAATCCATACTACTACTTGTCTGTCTTACATAATTTCGTTATTTATTCCAATATCTTCACAATAACTGAGTAAATACACTGGAAGAAGTAAACAGCTTAGTATCATTTTAAGTCCCACATGCATTGAAGACATTTCTACGACAGGAAGCTTTTCACTTTTAAGTCAAATTGTGCAATAAAACCAAGAACATACAACCATGGAAACACCTGCACATCACAAAAAGTTGGTGCACAAAGAGATTTGTCTCCCAAAGCATGCTCAAAAGATTAAACACATTTTTGGATAGATTAGTCCATGAATGACTGAATAAAGTTAATGATCCGATGATTGGCTGAATACAGATTAAAAATAGACACTGGTAAACACAGTACTTACATTCCAACTGTCACACTTGATGTCACATTAAATCTCTTTTTAGCAACAAAGAATCAAAGATTTTTCCTCTTCCTATAAGCACTTTATTTAAATGCCTTTCAGCCATCAGATTTCTACCCTCCTATAAGACATCATTCTTCCCCTCAATCTTATGATTTAAAAAAAAAGAAAATCAAAAAACTAAAAGTACATTTCATGACTAGATGATTGAGGAAAAAAAAAAAGAGAAATGGAAAATAGGTACTCTGCACCGTTAGGGATATATGAAAAGACAGACACAATGAGACAAAGAATGATAGAAAATTGAAGACACAGAGAGAGAGAGAGAGAGAGAGAGAGAGAGAGAGAGAGAGAGAGAGAGAGAGAGAGAGAGAGAGAGAGAAAGAGAGAGAACGCGAAAAAGAAACATAACGGTAATGGAAAACACACAGTGATGAGATATAAAATGCATATCATCCAGATCAACATGTTTGTGAGCCAATGAATGGAACACCTAAGCATCTATATCAATAAAACATTCTGAGGTTTAAATGCAATTTTCAAGGACTCACAATTTGTATTAATGACAGACAGTTTCAATATTAATGACCCAGAAAGTCAATACAAAACAATTATGTGCAAAAGAGAATCACATTTTCATGCTTGCATAAAGTCAATAAACAAGCATGAAAATGTGTACTCTGCACCATTAGGGATATATAAATAGACAGACATAATGAGACAAAGAATGATAGAAAGTTGAAGAGAGAGAGAGAGAGAGAGAGAGAAAGAGAGAGAACGTAAAAAGAAACATAACAGTAATGGAAAACACACAGTGATGAGATATAAAATGCATATCAGCCAGATCAACATGTTTGTGAGCCAATGAATGGAACACCTATCGGTAAGCATCTTTAACAATAAAACATTTTGAGGTTTAAATGCAATTTTCAAGGACTCACCATTTGTATTTATGTCAGACAGTTTCAATATTAATGACCCAGAAAGTCAATACAAAACAATTATGTGCAAAAAAAAAATCATATTTTCATGCTTGCATAAAGTCAATAAACAAGCATGAAAATGTGTACTCTGCACCAATAGGGATTTATAAATAGACAGACATAATGAGACAAAGAATGATAGAAAATTGAAGACAGAGAGAGAGAGAGAGAGAGAGAAACAGAGAGAACGTAAAAAGAAACATAACGGTAATGGAAAACACACAGTGATGAGATATAAAATGCATATCAGCCAGATCAACATGTTTGTGTTTGTGAGCCAATGAATGGGATACCGTAAGCATCTATAACAAAACATTCTGAGGTTTAAATGAAATTTTCAAGGACTCACAATTTTTGTTTATGTCAGACAGTTTTGATATTAATGACCCAGAAAGTCAATCCAAAACAATTATGTGCAAAAGAGAATCACATTTTCATGCTTGCATAAAGTCAATAAACAAGCTAGAATCTGTAGCCCATTGGGAGGCAAATTCCGCATTTTGTTTGGACTAAGGATTTAATTGCCCCTAAAACAGAAAATGCAAGCCTTATGTGAACTTTATTAATAATAATAATAACAGTCGCAATTTATACAGCTCCATTTACACTGGATACAAGGTG